AAAAACCACTTTTGTAGAAAACAATAAAGCCATCACTATGATAGTATAAATAGTCAGATAATTTTCTTCTGTTTGCAGAGCTCCAGTTTCTCGGTCCGAATGACTACAGCTTTGACAATACAAAGGAGACGAACACGTATTGTCTTTTGTAAGCTGTTCTTCCCTTCTGTAGATTACTTTGAAGGGGGAGTTTGTTGAAAGAGAATGACCAGTGTCACCGAGGTGTTCAATTATTATACCCCTTTATAGAGTCACTGTTATCTTTCTGCAACTATGCAGGATAGTGTTCTTGTACCCTTTTTAAAACAAAATGCGTATCAAACAACCATTATACCTAGCTCCACAGGAACAAATGAACTGATACACGCCCATATGTAAATCACTTCTTATAACTTTAATATTTAATTGGACGATTTCATCATGAGCTGACATCAGTTAGAGAACCATTAGAAATCCCTGAGAGTACTGAACAGCTGGTACTTCTTTCGAAGTCTTACGTAATCGCATATTCACCTTCATTTCAATATGTACGTCCTGATGACAACTCATTCAAGAGAAATGATTTGCCTTACTACGTAACTCTGTCGCCCTTATTCACAACTCATCACTTCAGTTACCATTCTCTTTTGTGAGGAAAGAGTTGTATATGAATGTGATTGTACAGCTAAGGGAAATGAATTCACCCGGAAAGAGCCTCTTTACTTGTTTTGTTATTTTTCATTGATGCATCGATAGGGATTATTCATGAATTAAATAATTTAATAAATTTAATAATTACAAAATAAAGTTAATCTCCCCTTCGATAATAATATTCAATCAGTCGGTAAGTCAGCTGATCAGTTTCTATTTTTCACTTCCTTTTACACAAACAAAATTTACAATTTCTTAAATTCTTTTTTTCGTTTTTTGCTTTTTGTTTATTTTACTATTTTGTTTACTATTTTGTTCTGTACGATCTTTGAATAGATTTATCAATAGCTTCCTGAAATATCTTCTGTTAGTTTGTTAGTATTTGAAGGAATGGGTATATGTATGGTTCAAATTTCACTGTGGAGACATACACATACAGTCACACACACGCACTCCTGAATTAAAGCTTATCAGTATATCTTGTTTCTTTCTAAGCTATTCGAAGGTATAGGACACCGAGTGAACTAGAATTCGGACAAACCATACACCACTGTGGGATACCATCATTCCTAACAAGACAGATATAGTTTAAACCATTTATGGTATCCAGCAAATCACATACTATGTATGATCTGAATGTCAAAGACTTCCTAAGGCGACTACTGTTTCAGATTTTCAACTGAAACTGTGTGATTTGCGTATCGCTAATGTGAATGAAGTCCTTCTGTGACTCAATGCTCACTAGGTATGTATATGGTCCAGATTCAACTTCTGACCGACGATCTCCTAATCCTCATCTAGTTCACCTAAACAGGTAGCTGGAGAATTCGAATGGTTTGAACTGCTAAGATCTATCTGAGCGATCCCGATCCGTGTATAGTATGGATGAACTCGAGAATTAGTGAGTGAAACAGTTGTCCACAGAGCTTAGATCACTTCGATCTGACTAGTAATCACTACTACTAGTAGTTGACATCAATGATCTTCAACTACTCATTTCAATCAGTAGTATATTCTACCTTGAAGTGGATCGATACAATTAAACAATTTCACTATATTTTCTAGATTACGTCTATAAAAATATTGATACAATTGAGAACAAAACGAAACAAAATAAATTTCTGTTATTCCATTATGGGTAAATTTTATTTTGATAGAGTCTCACAGTGTTATACAGTAATATTTACTGATGACGTTTCGAGCACAATTTATTGCTCATAATCATATCAAGTTGATATGATATGATGAGCAATATGATATGATTATGAGCAATAAATTGTGCTCGAAACGTCATCAGTAAATATTACTGTATAACACTGTGAAACTCTATCAAAATAAAATTTACCCATAATGGAATTACACTCTACTACAGTGCCCAAGTTTTATTCTTATATCAATAAATTTCTGTTATTCTAGTTATTTCAGTAGTACTTCTTCCTATTATTATTGTCCTTAGTGTAAGTGTAAGACTTAGGCACTGTGGTAGAATGTAATTCCATATTAGGTAAGTTTATTTTAAATATCACACAGTGATGAAGCATTAACAACTAGATGACGTCTCAAGCATACATTATTGCCAATCATAATCATATCAATTTAGTCACACAGTTTCACAATTTGTCTTATATACATTTTCTCTCTCTCCATCTTCCCCTTGTTTTTTTTGTTGTCACTCTCCATATCTTCAAACAAACTACAGACCTTCATCAATAGCTGTCTTTGCTCAATACTCAAGATCAGATGGCCAGAAATGATCAGGAACAGGGATCTCTGGCAATGAGTGAACCCACTTAGCAGGAACCAATTGTGCAACAAATATGCAGGAAGAAATGGAGGTGGATTGGCCATACTCTGAGAAAACCACCAAATGACATCACACGACAGGGTCTTGAGTGGAATCCAAACGGGAAGCGGCGAGTTGGTCGCCAGTGCGAGGGTGACATGGAGGAGGTTATGTGGAGAAGAGATGAAAACATATGGGCTGACGTGGAGTCATGTGGGAAAGTTGGCAATGGGACGTGCGATTGAAGCCGTATGTTCCTCTAGGAGACAATAATAATAATATCTACGATGTATGAGTTACGTCATTCCAATTGCACTTGTCTGGTGTTGAATCGATAAACAAAGCTTCAGTGATTAACCTCTCTGTCTCTCCACCTGAATATATTACTTTTTAATACTCTCACCCTGTCGTAGTTACCCTAATTTGTGATCACATGCAAGTGAATGCACTGTAATGGCTGGGATCTGTTGTCTAGGGTCAATCATTCTAGGCCTGGATAAGATTTTGTGTGCCGATAATCTAACTGACCTCGATCTACCAATTTGACTGACCTATGATTGTTGATGTCACAGTGATTACATGGTATTACAGCTATTGTAACCAATCAAATCCCTACAAACAAACACTTGAATATCGATGAGATGCTCACTGGCGACTTGACCTATTCAGGTAGGTAGTTACCTGGGGTTCTAGTGAGAAGTCGTGACCAGTAGGGTGCAGCAGGTCGGTTGTGAGGACAAATACTCACTGAAGACATTGGCTAGTGGTCGCGCTATGTCGTGAATTGGCAGAAGTTAGAATTCATGGGCTATTGGATTGGGCCCCAGTGGTTTAATGGTCTACGAGCAAGCCTTGTAACCGGAAGGTCCTGGGTTCGAACTCTGGTGGATGTGTACTGATGAAGAGTCCAAAACTAGGCTGACGAAACAGCTGTCCAGTACTCCCAGGTTTTCCAATGATTCTCTAACCAATGTCAGCTCACGATGGCATCCTTTAACCAATCAAATCCCTACAAACCAACACTTGTATATTATTTTTCTTAATTGGATCTATTGGGTCCTTAAGCCAAAAGAGTTTATCTCTGAGAGAGATAAAGAAAATAATATAACTTACCAAATACCATGTAATCACTATGAGGTCAAACTAGTAGATCGAGATCAATTAAGTTATCAGAACATAGTAATTTAGCCATAGCTAGATTTATCACTGAAGCTTTGTCTATCAAGTGAACACTAATCAAATGCACAATAGAAATGATACTGTGGTATGTGCTACTGAAAAGATTTATCAGTAGTATGTAGGCGTAAATTTATAGGAAGCAGCCGAAATTGAGAACAACATTTTAAGACAATATCTCCAGAAGTAGAAGTGTTTATACCTTAAATCTGGATTAAGTTTACGCTGTGGTCAGGGAATAATCGCATTGGACAACCTTCAGTCTCAAGGTTTAACCAACAATAAAGCGTTAGCCAATCAGAAAAGTCCATTGTTTCCTAACCCAGCCGACCTTGAACATGGTTAAAAATGTATAAATATGGTGCGTTTCCTTTATAAAAATTCATTACCAAGTCTATTGTCTTCTCCCGTGAAAACACAACACAAACATAAGGAGTATATGGAGAATTGTTAATATAAAAAAACATCAGAGGAAGTGAGGCTATAGTGAAACATGTTAAGCAGTTATGTACTCAAAACACTATCCAGTTATTAATTACAAATTTATGAAACTCAGTTGAACATTGTGTTTAACTTTATTGCTGAGAGTTAGAAGTATTTAGTGAGAGAGAGAGAGAAAAAAACCTTTTTCCCACTTGGTTTCCACTTTTTTTGGTTATTTGCTAGTAACCTTTATGAACTTATAGTGTTGCGTGTGTATATGTGGGATTCAGACTACTTCAAAGAAAGTCGGCCAACACTTCTACTATAAAAACCAATAAAAAACACAAAGAACGTCGACAATAATTAAATGCTTGGTTTCTATGTCATTATCTTTCTTTTGCTTAGAACTTAATCCATTTCACAATGAATGAAAAGCTCACTACAACTAAATGTATGCAAAAGTTCAAGGAAATTTGATATATGTGTAGACACAGACATTACACAATAAAGAATTGAACTAGAAAGGCGAAATTCTGTCGATAACTTCAGTAAAACAAATGCAAATAAACAGATCAAGATAATAGTTCATCAGAAAAGGAATCGGTTGTGATATAACTGTTATAGCCAAAACAATACTGCACAAGCTATTTCATCTTAGTTCGGAACTCTTCAAAAGTGCATAGTTATGACTCCACACATGGATCAAACCCAGTATCTTAGAGTGACGAGACCAGCACATTGAAAATTCAGCCACGCTGTTGAAATTCAATGATTCGTGAGTTCTTATTTCTGTCAATTCACGGTAGAACGCTATTAATCAGCTCGAGATTGATAATCACCTAGTAGATCCCAGGTTCTATCCCCAACAAGTGGCCAATGCAGCATATTCCTGAAGATTCCCAAGCTAAGAACGAATAGCTGTGCAATATATAAAAATATGAAATATATATATATGCATACATACACAAAAAGGTTCATGAAAACTTACTTCTCCGGATAAGGTACTGTAAGTCCAGCGATGGAAGGATTTTTACAACCCAAAATGAAAAATGAGCATATACAAGCCAATATAATTAAATTTACAACAAGGACGAACCGGATAGCGCCTATTAAGAAAGAGAATAAGGAAAATAAAAACAAATTACTTCTAAAACTAGTACAGTACTTGATCGAATTTATTTAAAATTATTATACAAAAATATAGTAATAACAAGGACCGGTTGTCAGTTGAATCCGACAAATTGAATATAAGGCTAAAATATAAAGCCTAATAATAACAAGAATTATTACCCTACTCTACTTTCCAATTTCGTTCAGACCGCTGATGAGTCTCAAAATGGGATGAAACACAAACTAGATTATGATTCTACTCACTGTCGAATAAACGGAACGAATAGTGACTATAATTTGTATTTCATTGAGCAAAACAGAATAAAATCAAACAAAGCAATACATATACCAGACTCTGAATAGTGATGGATAAATTCAACTTGAAAATGAGATAAATTTTGATCTTCTGCAGTTTCTGTTATGTTATTCCTTTACATTCCGAATAGAACATAGGACCTCAAGCTTGAGCTTCGAAGTTTCAGTAGCGATGGTATTGCTATTTTGTCGGCATGGGACCTCACGTCCAACCTCCCCACCTTACTGGGCTTACTACCGGCGGCTAACGGCGAGGTTTAGAATTGCATCGATTGGAAATTGAATCTGGGTCCTGTGGCTTTTGACTGGCATTCTACCACTGAACAACTGACGTGGACTATTTCTGTAGTCGGATAAATTAATCATTCAAGAACACACTAATCAGTAAAGAGATCTCTTTTCGTGATTTCTCTTCAAAGCTGTACATTTACTTAGAGGCCTAAATTGTGCAATGTTAATCGTCAACAAAGATCAGAGAATGTCGTCAGTTAGTAACAAAGGAGAAATATGAAGTGTATAAGAAATGAAAATGTTTTAAAAATTGTCAATAATCTTGTGTAGTCGACAACTTATTCCTCAATTCACGTTATAGGACAAATATCATCCACAAACATTAAAAAATTGAAAACATCCCTGACGACGTGTAAATTATCCACAGAATCAAATTATCCATATAAATACGTGCAATCTATTCATACACACACGACGGACACAGAAAAAGGAAAGAAATGTTACTCAGTAGCTACTTGCATTCCCATACAGTTGACAATGAACCACATATATTGCATGAAGCCTATAGATATTACCTAGATGTTCAAACCTCAGTATGTGAAGGAGCGAGCAAAGCTCGAAACTATGATCCAGTGGTTGTAAAAGCGAACAGCTTAAACCAACAGACATTTGACTCGTCAATATTACTCTTAATCTACCAGAAGTAGTTTTTAATTTGAAACAATAACACTACATGATTACGGAAACTAAAGACCGTGAATGGTGTTTGGGATTCGTGTTAACAGAACAAAAAGTGATAATTATTTAAACGTTTTAAATAGACGTAAGGACAGGAATGGTTGATTAGTTGCCCCATACTTTAGTTAAATAAAAAACAGCAATACTTCATCAAATAACATGAAGCAATATAAATTATAATGCGTCGGTGGCATAGCGGTTAGGACGCTCGCCGACCATGCACATGGTCCGGGGTTCGATCCCCAGCCACAGACGCACTCCTTTACCTCGCTAAGCCAGAAATAAAGCTGGTGAAGAGGAAAGGTTGGGCATGAGGCTAGTAACCCTATCCTGTAAAATAAACACTGCTACAGAAACTTCAAGCCACTACCTTGAAGCCCTATGTTCCACTGGGGAACGTGAATGAAAAAAAATCAATTATAACAGCAAAACTCCAAAACTTCCGTTTTTCCGTTTTCTTATCCTTTTCTATTCGTCGTAGGAGTAGTAGAATTTCCCAGATTTCTGGGACAGATGCTGAATTATTTCTATGCTTGCGATAGAAATGATTTAACACCTGTCCACCCGAACATCTAGAAAATTCCGCTACTCCTACAACGAATAAGAAGGAATAAAGAAAACTATAAAACGGAAGTTTCGGAAGTGCGTAGTTATAACTGACATGATTATGAACAATAATTGTGTTTGAAACGTCCTCCAATAAATAATAAGGTTTCACTGGGCGATATATCTAATAAACAAATTAATATGAGATTACATATTACCACAATGCCAAAGTTTTACACATATATTAACACGAACTTTGCACAAAAGTTCACCGTTTCAAGTTGCCACACTTCATAAAAGTACAAGACAATACAAAGTGCGAAGGTATAATAAACGGAAACATACGGTGAACTTCCGTATTCAACCAAAAACGAAAGAAGATGTAACCATGTAGTTGTATCAGTCCCGGTGGGCTGATCTCCCATGTTAGGTGGTATATTAGGCTCAGTAATATTGAGGTTAGGCTTCCGTCGAGTGTTAAGTAAAGAGTGAAAATCAATCGATGAGTTTGTGAAGCTATACCGATTGAAATGGCTAGCTAAGACATATATTACATATACCTAGTTATCGTCTTCCTCGACGGGTAATGTTAGCTGACATAGCATGGATCGGGTTCGAAAAGAGCCAGTGGTGGTCAAACTAAAACATGGCTTCATCAATCAATGAAATCCACAACAGTTAGTTTGAGCCAGCCAGCCAGCCACGTAGGGAGGTGTAAACTTTCTGACTGGTTGGGGTCCTCGGAATGGTAGTAAAAACCAATGAAGGTTGGAAACAGACAATTGGTGATGTGGCTCAAAATCGTCCTCAATGGTTGGTGCAGAGGCATTTACTCTTTGTGATTTGTCATGTTAAAAAAAAACTCTATTGTTCTTCCATATTACTGTTCCTTTTGCCTCGCATTTCTGTTTATTATCTTTCTTTACTCTCTTCTCTTGCTTTGTGTACTACATAGAGTCTAGCAACGCGAACTGCTGCACATCTATGCAATGTCCTATGCTGAAACCAGTCAGTCAATTAACAGTGAGGAAAATTTTTTGGCAAGTCATTCTCATGAAATGTTGTACAATAATACTGATATTTAACAAGGAGTTCATAGAACCAATCAGATACCAATAACCATTTTCTAAAGAATGTATTACGTAATGTTAGGTGTAATCTAGAAGGGGATAAATAAGTGGGATTAGAAAAAAGACGGAAATCTGAATAATGTAATAAGCCTGAAAAATGACTCATCAGTCTAAATGGACAAAATGGGCTAATGGAAATTCAGTAATAGTAATAATTATAAAATAATAACAATAAACCAGAACAATAAAATGAAACGAAATTATAGCAAGAATGTTATACTGACTACGCACGGCAAGGCGAGTGAATGTAATGCTTTTGCACGCAGAGGTTCGGTCTCAGCCGTCGAATAGCCAGTGATTCGGTTATGTATAAATGGTGTATTCGAAGTGTTTTCGTGAAGTTTTGGGGAACTTCTATGAAGCAATTATGCAAGGGTATCCGGTGTACTGGAGATAGAATAATGAGGATTTAACAGGTCTAGAAGATGACAAACAATAAATACTTCTGGAATGTTGAGAGCAGTTCCAATCAGCGTCACCTAAAGTTTCCAGGACCCCAACCAGACAGTCTACATCCCCCGCCCCACCAACAGTTAACTACTTCATGGATTGATGATGACATATTTTTGGTTTTATCACCCTTCTTCAGTCTATAGACATACTATCGTTGATTAATCAACTTCAAACTGCTATATTTTCACCTATCATCATCTATACACAAGAAGTTCGTCTTAAACATTCCCAGGAATCTCTTCTTCATTCATTTTCTAATGTGTGTGTCTGTTTGTGTGCAGTGAATGCTTACCAATTCCATTTATTACTTTTTATTTTTCCCAACACACAAACACAAGTACACAGTAGTAAGCAGGAAAATGTAATAAATGCATTATAGTATGTGATAGGTGAACACAGATGGTTGTGTTCCAAAGAAAAGACGATACTGTTTGAAACTTTAATGAAATTAAAAAAAGAAACTACTTTTTAGCATGTAACTTAATCTTTTTTCTTGCCTATTTGGCAAAAAACAAACTAAAAGATGATTCCAACGATTGAGGCTTTAGTAACATTTATCAATCAATAGTTCTGTATAAGCTTTATTATATTCTTAACGTATTAAGGATTTATCCTACTATATGATTCTAAGTATTAGTGGTTTAAGTGGTGTGTAGCGTCTTGCCAACCACGCAAGTGGTACGGGTTAAATTTCCGACCGACAAAACCCCTCTAAACCTCACTTAGTTCACTAGCCAGTGGTAAACCTGTGAAAGAGGGAAAATTGGACGTGAGGTTATTAATCCCACCACCGATTCTGAAACTTCAGAAGCGTGAAGTCCTATGTTCCACCCGGAACTCATGGAATATGAATATGGAATGTGAAAACGTGAAGAGCGCCTATAGACTATAGTGTCAAATACCTACATCAACAGGTCATAAATGTAACGTCTTGTTTGAAGAAGTTAAACACCTGGCGAAACTCATGGGCCCGAATAGCTCACTATTAATGTTTGTGCCTGGTTGACGTCACAGTGACTCACCTTGTTCATGAGCACCGATAAGAATGAAATCGAGGACAGGCGCTTCCTGTTAATCACTTGCAGCCATGTAACATCACTTCTAAGAAAACAGTATTCCCCAATCAGTTAAATAGATAAAAATCAGTTAGAAGTTTGATCACCGATTGATATCACTTAGAGAACCATTGAAAATCTGAGAGGAGTACTGGACAGCTGTTTCATCCCAGCTTGAGACTCTTCATCGGTATGCACCCACCAAGATTCGAACCCAGGACCTTTCAGTTACACGGCAAAGCAACCACTGGGACCCGATTCAATGACCTGTGAATTTCAACTTCTACCGATCAAACCAGAAACAAATCAAACCCCTACAAACTATCTCTTAAAAAAACTCAGCTACTTGGAAAACCACTTTTTACCAAATATTATATCATGTGATGAGTAGAAGTAGTTGCCAGATCATTTAGATCTAGTTACCACGTTCAACTGATTAGCGTGAATGGTTAGGGTAAATATACACGATCATGATGATTATATATTCAGATGATCTGCAAAATAACCTGGCTCCACACTAACATGTTTACACACATCAATGAATCAGTTATATTACTTCTATTTAAAATATAAACACTACACGCAAAAACTCTAATCTTGTCAATTTTATTATTGAAAGCGGTCCTATGGTGGTGACAAATGTACTAAACATTCCAATGACAGCCGAAAACACTCACACATACATATGCACATATAAATACAGACACACGTGAGTATACCTACGCACACACACACACAAACAACACATGCACTGCGCACAGGGTATTGAACAAAAAAAAACTAACCAAGAGATACTTCAGATTAACAGAAAGACACGGAAAGAGAGAGAGGGAGACAGGGATAGATCTAACCTAAATGAATGAAAGTCACACTAGATGATAGGCTGATGATGATGACGATGAGAGAGCAATGAAGAAGAAGCAAACTGACGAAAATAGACAAAGAAAGTAGAGGATAAGGAAATCATTTATGGTATACAAAAATATACCCTATCTTTTTTAGCATGTATTCTCCATTTTTCTGTGTTATCAGCCTGCCAAAATATGCATCATTAAAAGAAATAACAGAAGAAAGCAGTAATGATCATAAAATTAAAAGATGATTTGAGGTAGAAGGTAGTATACACCAAAAAGAAGGTAAGCTAGCTACCCAGTGCCTACTAACTAGTGATGCATAAAATGCATACTTGACAGCATAAACTAATTATAAAATCTGAAATAATTCGGTGGATGGTGACTAGCAGTGGAATCTAGAATGCGGATTTCTTCCTATTTGGGACTCTTCATCTGCATGTACCTGCATTTCCCAGTGAGTGATAGTGTTCCCACTGGGGCTCGAACCCAGTACCCATAGTTTCAAACGCCAAAGTGTTATCCACTAGACCATTTGGTTCACGAGAGCCACTTCTTGTGCAACGGGTATCAGTTATTATATAATTTTGGATTTGGACTTTCCCATTGATAGGACGAAATGAGCAATCTTGGATTCCAACTGTTAGTCACCACCCTCCAAATTACTTCAAGTTAAATCCTCAGACATCGCCAAAGCATCCACACAAGGAGCCGACATGTCAACAGAGGTTGAGCACTTCGGTCCAATCAATCAACGGGAAAGTCCAAATTGGATTAAATAATTATAAAATTGACTGATTTATTGTGTTTTGAAAAAAAATATATTTGATTCTATATTCTATTATAATCTAGACTGATAACTGTAATTTTATACAGCTGTAAATGTAAAAACAACATCCCTACTGTTGACCTAAGCCGCATAAGGCGGTGAAGAGACTGCCAGGTTGGCGTGCCGTCAGAATGCTAAGAATCAGTAATTAAAGACTGTAATGCAGATGGATTCACCATTCGTAAACTATCTTGCTTCCGCTCAGAAATCTCCTGCCCTCCCATTGAAGCTTAATTACATTTCTTCCTTGCAATTTTATGTGTAGTGACTTAAACTGATGCTCTAACTTTTCACACAATTCTACCTCATGCAGTCATTCAATCAGTCATACAAAAGCTAACTGTTGTAGAATTCACTCAGCATTAACACTAACGGTATGACATTGTTAACGCTCTTGTGATCAATCAATATATCCAATACAACCATAGAGGAGGTCAATTGTGAGGTCAAATAGTTCAATGCTAACGTCTCTGACTGCGCGTTACTAGCTGACACGCGTTGAAATATCTAAGGGGATATCAAATCCTTCAAGTTTTTTGACGAGGGGACATAAGCACGAAATCTACGTCAAGGACCTCCTGCTGACTGCTTCTAATCTAATCCAATCTTAAGCCCCCCAACCAACCTCCTCTACAAGCAGTGTTAGTCGGCATGGAATTAGATCGGAAAAGAGTTGGTAATGGTCGAATCAAAGCACGATATCAGTCCATGAGGTCTTTGACTGGGGGTTTGAGACATGTAGGAAAGTGAAGGTTACCTGGCTGGAGTCCTCGATACGGTAAAAAACAAAGCAAAAGGGATTGTTGGAGATAGCTCGAAACTACCCCCGTTGGAGTTCTCGGGATGCTGAGAACCGATGGCTCGTGACTGTTGATGATATGACTCAGAATCTTTCTCAGTGGCGCAGATGCATTTACTATTTGTAATCTCCTAAACTCATTAGGTCTTCTTATTTTCCAATGTTACTATTCTTCCTCTCATACATTTACAGTTCCTTCGTATTTCTTTCTTCTTTTTCTCTATCTTTGTGCGCTACATGGACTGTATCAACTTGAACTGAAACACTTCTGTGAGCAGTAATGAGTCGAAACTCAGTTAGTCAGTCAGTCAGTCAAACGATGCGTGATCTGCTTGACCCTCAAGAAAGCAATTACAATTAGAAGTACGAATAAACTATTGATTGACATGAATAGTTTGAAACCTTCTACATCAACCAGTAGTACTTGGTAGTCACCCACGTCGAAGTGATCTAAACACACCCATTTTGGAGGCCAAGCTCGTCACAGGTGTACCTCGTTTGACTCACCTGAGAGAGCCTAATCATCATCATCATCAGTTGAAAACACACATACACAAGAAGTAAAAAGCGATGATAACGTTCCAAACTACTGTGTATATGAGTATGTATGCATGTATGTAACAAAACTGTAATATCTTTTCACATTGAATACATCATAAAAATTCAATTAGTATACATGTATTGAGTCACTTGAATAATAAATAAATGATTTTATGCTAATTTGTTCATATGATTCAAAAAAAGAATAGTTCCGTTGTCTATTTTGCAAATAAAATCGCTAAGTTGTAACATTATATTAGTATTTGTATACAATCACTGAGATAGCAGTTGTTATAACTAATAAAGTGCGTCGGTGGCATAGCGGTTGTCCTAACCGATCGCCGACCATGCACATGGTCTGGGGTTCGATCCCCGGCCATATACGCACTACTTTACCTCGCTGAGCCAGAAATAATGCTGGTGAAGAGGAAAGGTTGGGCATGAGGCTAACAACCCCATCATGCAAAAATAAGCACTGCTACAGAAACCTCAAGCCAATAGCTTGAAGCCCTATGTTCAAATGGGGCAATCTCTTTTGTTGTTAACTCTCATGTCATTCATGACTTTAAATGTTGGTTTACAGGGATCCAACTGATTTCAAAAACTGACTTCAGCTAGTGAATCATTGAAAAAACTAGAGAGGAGTACTGCACAACTCTTTCGTCCTAGTTCCGGACTCTTCAGTAGCACGCACCCATGACTCCACCGAGGATCGAATCTAAGACCTTCAGGTTTTAACAGCAGCTCGTTGGCTATTCATCCACTGGAATGGAATCCAGTTGTGCATTTATGTCATTGGATAACAGCAAGATTCGAAACACCAGCTTCTGAAGTACTACTCCAGCAACTGGTTAATATTCTGCTACAGTCAATATTTTCATTTCATCTTCAGTCATCACCAACAGACCATAAACAGTAAGTCTTTTCATAGAATGCAAGATACCATTTCGATCATAATGCAAATGTAACATACAGTTCTATCTAAAGATTATAATTTTTAGTTAACAACAGGACAGGCGTTTGCAAAGTTCACCCATAACCGATACGATTTTTTTAAAAACATCTGGTTTTGATTTGATGTATACCAAGATCTTTTGTATTAGCTGAAACTTAAACCTAGAATTAGACTATGTCCTGAATGGCAGAAATAAAGACCAGGTCTACAGATCATCTGATTTCCACAAGGTATTATTGCCTTCCCCCCCTTACTTACTGTTTACATCAACCACAAGTATAATATTCGAATGTGTTAAAAATACCACACACACACACACAAAGCTATAGGAAAGAGCTGATACGTTTAAATCCCATGAAAGAAGGAACACACAAACATATTGATACTATACTGATATGATAAAAAAAGATTCGTAGCTCAGGTGGATTTTTTGTTAGTGTGATTATATTCTCTGAAATGGGTGGTCTCATTGTGAAACTATTGATTGTCCGTCTAGACAACATCTTCAATGTGAAGTAAGTGCTGAAGATGTTATTTCGGAAGAACATAGTGAAAGCTTTACAATTCAACCATCCAAATCAGATAAAACAATCACACTAAAAAAGATGTTTCTATGTATGAAAACAACCTATACTTTGTATTGAATCACATCTATTGTTTGAGGTCTAGTGATGCTACCTGGCTGGTCAAACCTCGGTAGGTGGAGTGAGGTTAGAACCCTTGACTCACCGGTTGCAAGTCAACCACGTAGACCAATGAGCCATAGATCTCCAAATGTCTACACACATGAAAGAATTGTCTTTTAGAATTCAGTTAACGCGGAACTACCCAGATGCGCAAGTTTAAATTAGTGGAGCAGAGTTCGAACTAGGTAGGCACCTCTTGCTTGAAAGCTAATTACTAAAGCCAATAAGTCACATTTCTACATACACATAAATACAAAGAATATTATAACAACTGTATACCTTAAAAATCAAAAGTAACACATTTAAAATAATAGAGAATAACTTACCGATACGACGAAACTGAAATCTGTTAAGTATAAGGCCACCGACTAATATGCCGAATGCACCACAGGGCACAATAAGACCGCCTAGGGAGAAAGGAATGAAACAAAAATATGTAATCACAACTTTTTGAATACACTTGTGAATATATATATATATCTTTATTATTAAACATTTGGTGGGAAACCTAATCAGATAAGTAATTTTAATTGAAATGCTAAAATCACCAAGTATTGATGAAGACTTCTAATCGGATAATGAAACGTTCTACGTTAACTAAAAGACTTAACATTCTTCTTATATCACTGGGTTGCCTAATTTGCCATCCAAGAAAAAGTGTATCTTATTTTCTCTATTTTATGTTGTTTTAGTTATTCAATTACATCTCTGAATGGCGGCTTGAACTCACACCGATTTTCAAAACAGGAATCATAGCAGGTGATTAGAGCGTGCTTTAGATAGAACACTATTGCTTTAGATGATATATTACCTATTATTAATTAACTTGAAGGCTGTGAATCCGGAGTAAATATTTCGCGAAAGAACAAGCTGAGAATTCTGAAATATGTCTATTAAAGCATTGTTCAGAATAAAGTTGTTATGATCATTATTATCCCCATATTCAATAGAAAACCTTCTCTATTGCTACAGAACAAAAGTTATTGTATCAAAAAGTAGTATTACACACAGGATGTTAAAAAATAAGTGATTCACTGAAAAGTAGATACAAGAGTAATAGTAATAGTAATGGAAAGTAACATATTTATTTAGGGTTAGAGGGAGAGAGCGGTTAATCAATTATCCGCTGTTCATCGAGTCAACACCAAACGACATGTAACGAAACACCTGTCCCGGATATATATATATATATATATATATATATATATATATGAGATGAAATAAAAGGAGGGAGTAGAGCCATATAAGGTAGGTTAAGGAGTCGTCTGGACACACTGATATGAATTCAACCAATAAACTCTGCTCGAAACCTTATCCAGATGTTAACCCTGTGTTGTATAAAATGAACTTATCTACTATGGAAGGAGGATAAATCATTGGAGCAGACACAGAAAATGGATATCAAGACAATGGAAGCATATCAAAGATAACGAGAGATGGTGAAGCCTTTCGATAACACAAATATATACACATATTTGTAATTATGTTGTAATCTATTTTCAATTAGGTTACCTAGAATCTTCATCTATTAATCTACAGAATCTAAAGTATCCACACCAGTAAGCTGAAGCATTAGTGACAGTTAGTAAAACATTAATGGTCAGAAATCAGCTACCCCAGGTATCCGGCTATGAGTCACACTTATTGTGTGAGGGGTAAGTGATACTACCCAGTTGACCAAGAACTGAAGTAGATTCAGCTGCAATTAGAACCCAACCTCCAATGACTGGAAAACAAGTGCTAAAGCCAACAAGCCACATCTCCATCAAAACTAAGAGCTCTTAACTTCTCTTTCTAACCCAGTATAATCCTACTCTATGATTGATAAGAATAGTTGGGAACGTCTCACGTCAGTCAGCAGACCAAAATGGTTTCAACACTGGAAGGCTATAGCGTTCATTTGAGGCCGAGCTGCTGAGCACCTGTACTCCGTTTCCCTCAATTCAAATAGTCGAATCGGTTCAAACTACTTGAATAGTACTCTCTACTTTTCAGTGGAAAGACCTAGGTTCGACTCCAGGTAGGTTTTACGGGTAGGCACTTTCGAATAGTCTCAAAATGGAACAAAACAACTACCCAGTGCTCCTTAATTTTCAGTGACTCTCTAACTGATGTCAGCTGGTGATCCAATTTGTAGTCCAAAAAGTGACACTAATTACATCCTCACTAAGTGACAATAAAGCGAAAGGGAACAATGTAAAAGACTTCACTTGACAATACATAACAAGACAAGGAATTAGAAGAAAAATGTGCGTTAAGAGAAATACAAAACTGTAATCAGAAATTGCCTTCAATCATATCACAATACATCAAAAAAAGTCAAGTGTATTCGGTACAACATATTAACAATTTCTTGTCAATTTACATTGTTATTTTATAATTTAAACAATCGAAATTGATTGATGGAAGTGAAATGCCAACAGCTGGATTATTATGATTATGATGATTGTTTACCTATTTTAAAGCTTTAAAGAATTGCTTTTTAAAAACAAACAACAACCGAGTGATATATGTGCAGTATGTACTACTTATTTGTATACATATAAGTAGTACATCAAATAACGACTCCGATGAAGCAGTCATAACTTCTGTGTCAATAGATATTATCTAACAAAGAAGAAATGTGAGAAGCTGAAAACGCTGAGAAGAATCAAATAAGAAACACTGACTAACTGACTGACTGGTTTCAACGTAGAACTTTGCACAACTGTGAAGCAGTTCTAGTTGCCGCACTCCATGTAGCACACAAAGCAAGAGAAGAGAGTAAAGAGAGATTCAAAACAGAGATAACAAACAGAAATATGAGACAAAAAGAATAGTAATATGGAAGAACAATAGAGTTTTATTGGATATGATAAATCACAAAGAGTGAATGCATCTGCGCCAGCCATTGAGGACGATTTTGAGCTACATCACCAATTGTCTGTTTCCAGCCTTAATTGGTTCTTACCATCACGAGGACCAGATAAGTAGTCTACACCTCCTTGCACGGCTGGCTTGAACTAACTGTCGTGGATTTCATTGACTGATAAAGCCATGTTTTAGTATGACCGCCACTAGCTCTTTTCCACCCTGATCCATGCTATGTCAGCTAACATTAACCCTCGAAATAGTGATATGAGTAAATTTTTGCTTATGGTGACTGGAGATGAAGTCCATGATGCGGATTTCGCTTTGGTTTTGGACTCTTCATCTGCATGTACTTGCATCCCTAGTGAGTGATGGTGTTTCCACTAAGACTTGAGCTCATTTTAAACGAAAAAGAGCTATCCTCTAGGCCACTGACATATCAGGACGATATCATGTTGATCTTCAGGCATCATCGAAGGAACCGACATGTTAACAAAGACCGAACATTTCCATTCAAGATAATCAATCAACGGGAAATTAAAATTAACCTAAGAACAATAAGGTGGATGATTATCTAAATATACATTGTATTTTGTTCTAGGGAAACATTACACTTCGCAAATAACCCGTCTTGTTCACATCAACTCATAACAACTAGTTAATAAACTTGAAACATTCTAAAGTAATAGCATTAATCCAAATAAATTCACCGATAAATTAGTTCGAAGAATTTTCATACTATTACCGATATTCTCTCCTTTTGTGCATACTAAATGCACCTTGAAGTAATGTCAAATCAATTTAAAGGGTATCTTTACACCGAATCTCATTACTACGTACATATATGTATTCATTGTTATTCATGATCATTTACTTTGAAAATGTGATGCTCACTTTAGTGGTACATTTATTTATCTTATCAAAAATACATTTTTGGAACTTTAATCTATTAGCAATATATATTAAGTACACACGTCTTGAAATTCTGAAGTCAACGATTCGATAATACTTTTGAAAAACATCAATGTTATCAAAACCAGTAGTTCTCTAGTCCTTGTGAATTTATACATATATATAACCTGATGAAGGAGAAGTAATTGAAAAGAGTATTCTTTGTTCAGTAATTGAAATTTCCAAAGGACATCTTAACACACCAATCAATGGTTAATTTAATAAATATGGTGGAGAAATCACTTCTTTAATTATTCAAGCTGATTCCTACAGATGCCCAAGAACGGGCGGAGGATAAAACTCGGACAAGACATTCTGGTCTATAGAAAAAAAACAATAAGATAAAACTTACATAGGATGTAAAGCGTTGTGGTGGACTGGATTATGCTGCCCACCATACGTGGGGAACGACAAGAAAAGAATACGTTGAACCGATAAGGAGACTCTAAAAGATATGGAATTTACGGACGACTTACGTAAAATGCCAAACAAACTCGAATGATTACCGGCGAAAATCAAAAATTTGACAGAAGAGGCTGACAACAAAGACAGAACTTCAAGTGAACATAGAGAAGACGGAGGTGATGAAAATAACCAACCAACCAACAACAACAACAACAACAGCAACATCCAACGCCAATCACCATCAACGGGAGGGATTTGAAAGAGGTTACTTCATTCACTTCACTTATCTAGGGAGCATTGTCTCAACTACAGGAGGGACGGACGAGGATGCCAAATCGAGAATCGGGAAGGCGAGAAACACATTCATCAACCTGAAACCAATCTGGAAATCTTCGTCACTCAGCATCAACAACAAAATTCGGATTTTCAATACAAACGTCAAGTCAGTCAGTTCTTCCATACGGATCAGAAACTTGGCGGGTCATAAAGAATATTTCCAACAGCCTGTTGCAGAACTTTATCAACAACTGTCTTAGTTCTATACTCAAGATTAGATGGCCGGAAAGAATCACCAACAAGGAACTATGGGAACAAACAAAACAAGAACCAATCGCTCAACAAATATGCAAGCGAAAGTGGAGATGGATTGGAAACTCGCTGAGCTGAGGAGGCCGCTGGGTGACATCGCGCGTCAGGCCAACGCTCGAGTGGAACCCGAAAGTGAAGCGGCGAGTGGTTCGTCGGTGCAAGGGTGACATGGAGGAGATCGTGGGAAGAGGAGCTGAAACAGTATGGATTAACATGGACGCAGGTGAAAAGTACGGCAGAAGACAGAAGCAAGTGGAGACGTGTAGTTGAAGCCCTATGTTCCACTAGGAACCCAAGGGAATAATAATAATAATAATTGAACATATATTCAACACTAGTCAGTTAGTATGTTAAGAGAATTCATTCAAAAACATCTACTAAGTCAAAAGAAGCCCCCCGAAAACGGTAAGCTTTCGTATACTTTACATTGTCAAGACCTTAGCGATCCGGATAGAAGCCCCTGATTTATGCATACAAAAGAAACTTCTCCACTTTCTCCTCCTTCTGCCTTGAGTATCATTACAAATTCTACTATTTTGTCAATAATACATTTTTTTGAATTTTCGTATGACATACTAGTAACATCTTTTTGTTAACTAACCCATAACGTAAT